TTATTCGTCCATTAACAAGAATTTCCCTGTACATTGATTATGTGCCAGGGTCTGTGCTATGAGAAAATAAGACAAGATAGACAGCATACAGACATTAAATAAATATGTAATCACAGGGACAAGCTTTAACTACTGTTGTGATAAGTTCTCTTCAGTGCTTCTCCTCCAACTTTTCATATACGTGACTCCTTCTTTACCTTCAGGGTCTCACTGAAAATGTCATATCCTCTGAGAACACTTCCCCATGTGCCATTATTCTCTGATTCAGCTTATAGCCCTGATTTGAGATACTTATAACAAATTTACTATTATTTTGGTTATTTATTTTAAGAAGTCTATCATCCTAACTAGACTATAACCTCCACAAGAACAGAGAGCCTGTCTTATTTTATTGTCTTTGCTGTCACTCACCAGCACCTAGCACAATGCCTGTCTTATAGTTGGAACTCAACAAATATTTGCTAAATGAATGAATGAATGAATGAATGAGTGAACCAATAAGAGGACGAGACCGAAGAAATGAGTAAGCTTTGGCCAGAAGAAAGGGGGATGTGAGAGAAGGGTGGGATGGGAGTGGAAAGAACTTCCCTGGCAGAGTTAACAACCTGTGTTGGGTCCTTGAGGGCAGAAGGAGCAAGTGTGGAATGCTACAGGAAGAAGACCTAAGAGGCTGGAGTTACAGTGACTAAGGTATCGTCTTAGCTTTAAATGCCAGACTGAGGATTTTACTTGAAAGGTCATTGGAAATGGTGGAAAGGTTTAAGCAGGGCAGTGACTTGCTCAGCTTTTCTTTCTGAAACTGTTCTGTCTAATATGGCAGCCATTAGCACCACATGACTATTTAGATTTAAATTAAGAATAAACCAAATTAAAAATTCAGTTTCTCAGTTACGATCAAGATTTCAAGTACTCAAAAACCAGATGTGGCTAGTGACTTCCTTAACAGAGAGCACAGATATAGATCATTTCCATTGTTGCAGAAAGATTCATTGGATAAATTGTTGAAAAAAACTGGACACTCTAGTGTATGGTAAGTGGGTCCGTGGGGATGATTCCAGTGTACTATAAAACTTAAGCCTATCCAATGGCAAATCTAAGAACTTTTTGAAGTGGAAAAAACATGTAAAGTATAATCTAATTGAAAATGAATTTTGAGTTTCAAAACGGCAATTTAACAGTTCAGAAAAGTACCAGTGTTTATATACTCAAAAAATCAAGAGAAACTCAACACATTTTGAGATACAGTTCTAAAGCTTGTGCTATTTTCTAAAAACAAATATATCTAAAGATTGGTCTGGGGATAATGAACAAAAATCTATTAGCAAACTTACTAATTAGGGTCAGGTCTATGCTTAAATGGAAACATTAAACATTTGTTTATTTGACATAAGATTTCTTTAGCCAACTACCATAAATATTGGCTGCCTGTCAGAAATGATGTACCCAAATTTCACATGTTTTACATTTCCTAATAGTGATCTAGCCCACACAATATTTTTATATGATGACGGCTGTCATTAAAGCAGAATATTTTATTTACACATTGTATTTTGATTAACGAGTTAATGGTAGTTCCCTGTTTAAAGTCATCAGGCCCTATGTGGCGCTTAGCCAAAGCATGCTCAGAGTTGACAATGATTTTGATTATGTTCTCCATGTCTAGCCAAAATGATCACATTACTGATGGCAGTGCTTTTTCAACTGGAGATCACAACCTACTACTAGGCTGTAAAATCAATTTAGTCAATGTTATCAGCATGTCTTTTGTGTGACTGCTGGGTCATGCTGTAAAATGTATTTTTTTACTGTGGACTACAGTGAAAATATTTTGAGCAACACTGGGTTTCTTTCAGGTTTTTAGTGGCAACTATTCTTGGTTGGTCTGCTTTTTAACCTTGGCCTCATATTGATCTAAGTCCTTTTCTCACACATTACTATGCTCTCCTAACACTCCTTAGCCCTCTGGAGCAATCCCATTTTACCTCTTTCAGAGGCGT